GCCGCCGCCCCGGACTTGCCCGCGCTCTGCAGCCGGGGCAGGAGGGTCGCGACTGTCCTCGGAGGCCGTGAAGGAGGACGACCCCGCGTGCAGCCCGTGCACCCCTCGCCATGGCGGCGCCGTCGCGGCTCCTGATCCGCGGGGGCCGCGTGGTCAACGACGACTTTTCGCAGGCGGCCGACGTGCTGGTGGAGGACGGCGTGGTGCGCGCGCTCGGGCGCGACCTGCTGCCGCCGGGGGCCGCCCCCTCCGGGCTGCGGGTCCTCGACGCCGCCGGCAAGCTCGTCCTACCCGGAGGCATCGACACGCACACGCACCTGCAGTTCCCCTTCATGGGCTCGCGGTCCATCGACGACTTCCACCAGGGCACCAAGGTACGCGCCGCCGAGCCCGCACCCCGGGACGCCCCGCGGCGCCCTGTCCGTCGGCCCTGCCAGGGCCGCTGCGCGGAAGGACGAGCGGGCAGGAGCCACCGAGCAGGCGCAGGCCTGCGGTTAAGGGTCCCCGCTCTGAGCTCCCTTCTAGGCGCCCTTTCTCCGTGGCATCAGCTGGGCTTCGGCCAAGCCTGACTCCCCCCACTCCTCCTTAAGGAGGGTAAGGTTATTAACCTAAGTGATTTGGCAAGTTTAAAGGAACCCTAACCCTCGTTTCTTTAAATAGTGTACTCTGCACCTCCTACCCATTTTCATAGGTATTTTATGTACATCCACAAATCTTTTAAAATTTCTATATAGAATCTTTCAGTTTAGTGGCCAATCCCAGACATTTCTCCCCATCCTCCATCACTAGCCAAAACCAATTGAAAAAACCCATTCATCTAATAGCTCCTGCCTGACTCAAAGTCAGCCATGTGTGCTGGGTGATGGTAAGTCCGGGAAGGCTGAAGTCCATTGTGCCCACAGCCCTTGCCTCCGCCCTCCGGTAGAAAAAACACAGCCCCTGACAGGGTTTGGAGGAGAAATATTACAGGAATGGTCTCCCAGCCCTCACCCTTGCACCAAGACAACCTGGTCCACATCTTCTCCACCTGTTTGCCCTGGGAACATCAACTAGAGACCCTGATTCTTGCTGCTTGAGCACCTTCAGCTTTGCTGATGGTGTGGAAGGATCAGATCACTGGTGCCCAAGTGAGGGAGGCTTGGGTTTCTCTAGACACAGAGGCCTAGAGGCTCGGGTCAATGAAAAGAACCTCAAGCGTTTCTCCAAAGCTTCTGAAAACAAGGACAGGAGATGAACAGGGCTGCCTCACAGGACTATGAAGTTGAAACTCCACTGAACACTTCAGCTAAAAGCCAAACCCACACACTCCTTGAGGCTTGCGTTTTGGACCCTTCCAAAATGGAAGTACCAACTCCCTAAGGCCTAAACTCAATGTTGTGCCTGTATTTACCCCAGGGCCATGCCTTGATGTGCATGAAACAACTCAGGCTATGGAGCCCAGGCTGTGTGGCAGGTGCAGGTTTAGCCTGGGCAATCGTTCATTTACTGTACTCCTTTTTAGCAGTTTTACTGTCCTTACATCTCCCCCCTCCAGAGTCCCCAATCATCTATGATTGACCTGAATGTTTAATAGAAAAAAAAAACGACTCCACCCAGAGAGAAGGGTCTGGGGCAGGCTGCTCACATCAATATTTGGAAAGTTTCCTCCTACTTACTAATTATCAACCTTCACCATCAGAGCAAGAGTCAAAGTCTGTTGTAGGAGAGATCATTATCTGTTTTGAAAATTGACTTCATTTTTTCCTTTTGCTAAAAAGTGAAATTTGCTAAGTTTTAATGAACTTATTTTTATGATTTAAATACATTTTTCAGATATCAAGGCAATACAAGATTATATAAAATTGGGAAAATATAGGAAAATAGAACCAAGAAAAAAACTACCTGTAATTTAACACTTGATGACAACCAATGTTTTGGTGTTTTCTCTTTATATGCTTTAATATGCTTTATTTGACATAATTGAGATTGTTTTGTGCATGTGTGTATGTGTGTGTATATCTGTACATATGAGTTTGCAACCTACTGCTTTCAGTTATAGAACTGAAAGCGTCGTTAACAAAGCACTTGGCTCATGCCAAGCCTTGCACTAATACCTCCGTTTTCCAGGTGAGGAGCCACTATTTTTGACCATCAGTTAGTTGCCAGACCCCCCAGCATCATTTCTTCCCTCCATCTCCCTTTCTTTCATCAGGGTTCTAGAGGAAGCAGTCAAGAAGGAGGAGGGGGGGTGGAATGTTGTGGGGAGGGACATTCCCTCCCTCTCTCAAGGTTATCTGTGCTTGCCCCAAGGTCCTGGGAAGTGGTTCTTAGTTATCTTTGTTATTCGGCCATTCTGGGATTCCTAGGTTGGAGAGATTTACAGTTTCATACTGAGAAGGCTGATCTTTGTAGCATATGACAGTCTGTTGTCAACATCTGAAAGAATTTATCCACCAGCACATTCTCTAGGCACTTCTATACATAAAGGTTGTCAAAACATTAAATAAAAACATGTTCTTCATGAGCTTAGGGATCTAAGCAGAAAACAATATGGTCAGAGAGATTAAGGTCAAAGATTTAGCAAAGGCTAAACTCATGTTAAATATTAAACATTACTCACAAAGGTCTTAAGTTGCAAAAGTCTGCTTCAAAATTGGTTGGATCCCAAGAGATAATGGCTCCTGGCCCACAAACATGAGATTCCATAAGAGAGCCAGATGGGTAAATAAAGATCAAACGGAGCAGGAAAGCACTGCCTGAGTTCTGAAAGGAGGGCATCATGGCATCACCTTGTCCTCTTCTCCAGAGTCTTCGCAGTAATTCTCAAGGGTTGGTGGACTTTCTGGTTTAGGGAAAGAGGGACAAAGAAGTCTTTTATAAATGCTGGTCATATTATATCTTAACCTTGAAAAACATTTTATTAATACTGTTAAAAAACATTTTATTAGTACCGTTATTTTATTAAACACTTCCAACATACGAGGCACTGTGCTAAGTTGTGCATCTTCCAACAATCCCATGGGCCCTTATCTACTTTTTACAATTGAGGAAACTGAATCTTATATCACACATAAGGTCACATACCTATTAAGTGACCAAGTGACTTTTTTTTATTAAGATATCATTGATATACACTTTTATGAAGGTTTCACATAAAAAACAATGTGATTACTACATTCACCCATATTATTGAGTACCACCCCATGCCCCATTGCAGTCACTGTCCATCAGTGTAAATAAGATGTCACAAAGTCACTACTTGTCTTCTCTGTGTTACACTGTCATCTCCATGATCCCCCCCACACCATGTGTACTAATCATAATACCCCTCAATCCCCTTCTCCCTCCCCCACCCATCCCCTTTCGTAACTTCTATCCCTTCTCGGAGTCTGTGATTCTGATGCTGTTTTATTCCTTCAGTTTTCCTTTGTTGTTATACTCCACAAATGAGGGAAATCATTTGGTATTTGTCATTCTCTGCCTGACTTACTTCACTGAGCATAATACCCTACATCCATGTGGTTGCAAATGGTAGGATTTGTTTCTTTCTTATGGCTGAATAGTATTCCATTGTGTATATGTACCACATCTTCTTTATCCATTCCTCTACAGATGGACACTTAGGTTGCTTCCATATCTTGGCTATTGCAAATAGTACTGCAATAAACATAGGGATGCCTATGTCTTTTTGAATCTGAGAACTTGTTTTCCAAGTGACTTTTCAAAATCAGTGCTGCCTGCCATCGCTAAAGCACTTGCCTACCCACTCTGTTCTCTTCCTTGCGGAAAGGACTGTTGAAAAACATCTAATGTTTATATTTTTCAGAGTAGCAACTGATGGGAGAAAAAGCTGTATAAGCTGCATACAAATGTGAAATTGCTTTTCTCAAAAATACGGCAGAGTCATCCTTAAGAAATACAGTGGCCCTTCACCTCAATACTAGAGGCAGATAAGGTTATCAACTTAAATGCACATCTCAGACATTAGGTTTTGGAGGCATTTGTACATGCATTTGTACCACATTATCTGTGGGGGTGCAGAAATGTGTACCTTAAGGATAGAAAAAAAAGTAAAAATGATGCATCATGCTTTCAGAAGATGGGCCCCAAAATGTTAGACCAATAGGTATTTGCTTTCTGTATCCACCAGGCCGATCATTTGTAATACCTGACAAACAGAAGGATATTATTTGTGATATTCTATTTATTGATCACTAGATTGTGATGGGGCCCAATTTAAACAATGAAATATAGGTCAACCAAAGGTTATATTTTATAAGTCTAATTCATGCCAGAGGTTGGCTTAAAGCCTATAATTGATTTACATAATTATAGGTAAAAGCTTTCTCTCTGGTGTAACTAATGGAATTAATGTTCTGCTTTAAAGAAATCATATTTCATGTTGTTTGTCTATAGAGGTCTCCAATAATTCAGTATCCTTGAGGAAAGACAATGGGATTTTTTATTCAAATGAATATGGTAAATTAGATAAACTTGGAGGAATTATGACCTTGCTTTTACTACATGCTGTGATAAGAGAGTGAATTACAAGAGCTCAGCCAATTTTCAAATACATATATTTATATTCAGACATATATGCAGCTTGGAGTGGGTGGACTTGCAGTAAAAACCTGGCAGCAGCAGTAAGTGGTGGAAGGATCTTTTTTTTAATTGGAAAAACATGCAGAACACTTTTTGGTAAAGAACAAAAAGTCCTCAAAAGTACTGAAAAAGGAAGTTGTACTTTGCTCTGGAACTTATTGGTAAAAATGCCATCAAAATGATGACTTAGAATAAAGCAGTGGAAGGTCTGTGATTAAGCACACATTTATGGTTGTATTTATAGTGCTTCCACACCTTGTAGAAGAACTGTGCTTCAGAAAACTTGATTACAAACCAAGACCCTTTTCTGTTGCTTGCCCAAGGTCCACTCTGGGCTTGAAAGGGTGTGTGGGCTGACTGTGTGACCTGTGACCTTAGACGCGTCACTTCCTCTCAACTTGTCAACATTTCCTCATCTGTAAAATGCACTGATTGGAAGAACAACTTCAATTACAAAAATATTTTTAGAAGTGATGAAAACATATTCATTATCCAGCCTTCAGGAAAATGCTAGCACATTATAGCTCAATATGTAGTAGTTGAATTAAACTTTTTTTATAAAAGGAAAATTGAAATGAGTATAAAGGAAAATAATACTTAAATCACCTTTATTTTAAACACTTTGCTTCCTGTCCTTCCAGGTTTTTCTATGGGGGCACATAAACATTTCTCCTTCTGCTAAATTGTGTGTACTCTTTGAAGTCTGCCTTGTTCATTAAACATTTCCCCATGACCTTAACTATCCTAGGAGAATGTGATTTCCATGGTGGCATCATCTCCTCTGAGGCTGGGT